TAATAATAATAATAATAATAATAATAATAATAATAATAATAATAATAATAATATAAACTTTATACGGCATCCGACTCCCAGCAACTTCATGAAGCTTGTTGGGTTAGCCAACTTAGCAATGGCACTACAATCTCATGCTTAAGTCATTTGAGGAGATAGAGTGTTGACCCAGAAGACTGGCCTGTAGCTAAGCATATATTTAAGAACAGTTATTTGAATGAAAATACAACTTGTAGGGCTGCACAGTTATTTGAATTCAAAAGGGAATAAGTGATCTGGAGTGCACATGGGCAAGTGTCACATGTGTGCTTGTACCATCACCTTTTCCCCTTCAAATCCAGACTGTTTCATAGTCCAATATCTCGTATGAGACGTCTCTATTAGTTGAATATAAACAGTTTTCTTCCATTCTGTTTAAGAAAGCATAACTCAAAATGTAACTGCACAGAGGAAGACTGGCAGATAGATTTGTACTGGTTATTTCAACAGTCTGTTCTCAATTTCTGCTATCATTGTCATGACTACACAGGTTATCACATGGTTGCATTTTCAAAAAAGTTCCTTGCTGATCACATTTTTTTCCAGTGTAAGGCAACTATGAAGAGTTGACACAATCTATGTTAAGTGGATTGCACTCTATTTCCAGTTTTAGTAATGCTATTTTTCATCTGCCTTTTCCAAAGTGCTACTTGTCTTTACCCATTTAACCTAGTCATCTGGCATTACTGCTCATCAGACAGAAGAAAGATCTGCTTCAATTATCCAAGCTATTGGTTTATACCACTATGATTTCTTAAAGTTCCTAAGAAGGTTAACTCAGCATTTAATATAAACCATACTGGAAATCACATAAGTACCATGTATAAGGGGAAAGAAAAAAATACGGCAGTGAATATTCACCCCATTCTTTGCATTTATGGAAGAACCTGCCATCCACACCCACTGAGCTATAACTATATACCAACCACACAAGAAACATTTTTCAAATATAGACGCACAATAGCATTTCATGCACTTTCAAGAAAATAAAGCTTGAATCATATACTAAACAGTCTTCTCCTCCTGATACCCTGACCTCAACATGTATAAATAGGGTCTGGGATTCCCAAAATTATCAGGAAGCACAGCCAAAGGGCAAAGTTCAGAAGGCTACACTATAAGATTTGGTGGAAATAACTCAAGTGTTCTTAGCCTTTCCTATGCATTTGTTCTTCTTAGCCTTGGCAGTTGGTACATTCATTTTTCCCACAACACAGTAATACAGGCTCTTAGTTCCTATTTGGAATTCAGATCGGTTCACATCATACAATTACACTGCAGTAAAAGCCTCCTTTAGTCTATATCTGTGTGGCTGTAGCTTAGCAAGTTTAGATCATCTCTCCCAGACTTGAAAGACAACAGTGACGCTTTCCAGAAGCAGTAGGAAGCTGTCTACAAAATTGCAATGATCCACATATTATTGACTCAAAACATATCTAGCATAACCTGATAACATTTAAGTATCCCCCAAACACAGGTTCTAAGTGATCAAGAATAATGTTAACACACCTTACAACTATAATCTACCCTACAGTAAAAATATTTTTTTCAGTCCAGTGTTAGAAGTATGAAAAATGTTTTTTTCTAAGTTGCTTTCCTCAAAGCTGTTTCTTTCTTAGCCTCAGATTCTTGAAGCTAGTTATGCTATTTCATACAACTCTTGGGGATATAATTCTTAATACACTAGGCATTTAGCTAGCTGTGAATGGTCATGTGAATTCAACTCAGTTTTTTTCCCAGCACAAGTATCAGAATAAAGAAAAATTGTTCAATGCAGGGCAGTATGAATAAACTTAAGTCAACTCAGACCCTTGCATACCCCAGGCAGATCACTGCTAAAGACAATATGGGCACACCCCCATCAAAAGAGGAAGTATTCCCAAATGAGATGTTTGCAGGAGGCAGAAGTGGGAAGAACCAATGATATGTGCCTCATGAAATCATGATGACTTACATCCTTATGTTAGGCATCATGACATAAATGCTAAGTTGCACCTCTGCATAACGATGTCTAGATGTGTCATTTTTATGTCATTGTAGCTTGTTATAGAAGCCACTGCCCAACTGTGTACTCTTGTAAAGGGTTGGGAGTTCATATGGAGTCACCGGCATACAAACATTGCAAATAAATGCACTTCAAACATACTGTATTCTGTTGAACTGTGTCTAAAAATGTTAACTGATTGCTTTAATAGAAATGGACAATCTGCCTATTCTTTGTTTCATTTATTAGTTAATGAGCCTAGCTTAGATGATCTTGAAAATAAGCTAAGCAGGGTTAGTTGATTCTAGTTAGCACAGATGGAAAACCAGCAGGAAATCCCAAGGCAATAGGCGAGATAGGGTAGTCAAAAATATTTTGGAAAAAGGTAATGGTAAACACTTCCATATTTGTGTCAATTAATCTACATGGATATGCTCTCTTAGTCAGCAGGAACCAAGCTTAACTTAGTGGGATCTTTATGAGTTGAACAGATAAATTATATGTATGTTTATGTGAAGATACAGATGGATCCCCATACTTGCAACTTTTATCTGTGATTCACATCCTTTCATCATCAGATTCAAATTAGAAAAGCCCTGGCATTGGTTTCCGGTTAATGCTTTTTCCTATTTCCATTCATTGACTGATGTCAATGAAGCAGTTTCCTCCAACATTCTTTTTCTGAGTCTTCTCACCTTGGGTAGATCAGTGGCTCCCCGGATCCTCAGAGCTACTAATTCTCCCTCAGGGTGGATCTTGGCCACATGCTTCCACATTCTTTCCCAGGTGGCCTCATTGATGGGAAGCCCTCCACGGTTCACAAAGAAAGGGACTCCTCCATCTCGGAGATCTTCGTCTCCATCTTCTTCTTGCTCTTCTTCTCGCTGGGCCACCCCTTCCCTGGCCTGGGACCTCCGCAGAACAGCCACGCCACCACCACTGCCATCCACTTTGCAAACTGACATCCCAGCATCTATCAATCTGACCTTCTGTTCTTCAGACCACAAAACCTTTGGGCCTCTTCAGATTGTTTGAGACAGAAATGCTGCTGCTGAAGACATAGTAGTTAGAGAGTAGAGGCCCTTTAAGACAGACAGACAAAAGGGTGGGGTTCATTCACAGAGAATAAAAGTGCAACAGCAATGTTGGGATTTTGAAATTCTCCAGCCAGGGAGCAGCAAGGCTGTTGCTTTGGGAACTTCAGAATTTTTGCTCAGAAAGAGTCTGCTGGTCTTTTTAAAGAAAACAAGCCCCGGGGGTGACTATCCCTCAAGGCTGCAGCGATAAAACAGTACCAGGTTCCGTTATCCGAAGAAAGCAGAGGAGGGGAGAGAAATGATGATCTGAGAATGAAGATCTCACTCACCTAGCTGGACATCATTAGCTGGCCGCCACCAGGTCCGGGAAACCATCCCAAGAGCGAGAGGGCGATGCTAAAGGAGCTGGAGGAAAGGCGACCTCCCACCCAGCCCGACACGGAGAGAAGAGAGGCAGACAAAAGATGAAGCAGCGGGCTACACGCAGGCGGGCGGGGAGGGGGCGCGGGAGTGAAGGAGGCGCCTTGCTCCGGGTTTCTGGGCGGGGAGGGGGGAGTCTTTTCCTGCAGCCAAAGCCCGCCCGCTGCAAGGCAGGTGAACTCAGCGCGGGTCACAATGCGCTGCCACCGGGGAAGGGAGGGGGCCGAGAGCCAGGACTGCCGCCGCCGCCGCCCTGGAAATACGGGGAACCCCGCGGGGTTCCTTCTTCCCAGGCAACCCCAGCAGCTGCGCGGGCGAGCCGGACGGACAAAGGTCGGGCCGCGCCGAGGAGGTAGCGGCTGCAGCTTCCCTCCCCCCCTCTTCGGAAAGCAACCGGCTGCCGGGCAGCTGCCGGGGGGGGGGGGCGGAGC